TGTGGGACACACCTGGACACGTGGGACACACCTGAGCACACCTGTGTGAGTGAGTGACACACCTGTGGGACACACCTGGACACGTGTGACACACCTGTGTGAGTGAGTGACACACCTGTGGGACACACCTGGACAGGTGGGACACACCTGGGTGAGAGTGGGACACACCTGGGTGAGTGTGGGACACACCTGGGTGAGTGTGGGACACACCTGGGTGAGTGTGGGACACACCTGGGTGAGTGTGGGACACACCTGTGGGACACACCTGGACACGTGGGACACACCTGGGTGAGTGTGGGACACACCTGTGGGACACACCTGGACAGGTGAGTTACCTGTACAGCAGGTACAAGGTGAGTGTGCGACACACCTGGGCACACCCTTGTGAGTGAGTGACACACCTGTGGGACACACCTGGGCAGGTGGGACACACCTGGGTGAGTGTGGGACACACCTGTGTGAGTGAGTGACACACCTGTGGGACACACCTGGACACGTGTGACACACCTGAGCACACCTGTGTGAGTGAGTGACACACCTGTGGGACACACCTGGACAGGTGGGACACACCTGGGTGAGAGTGGGACACACCTGTGTGAGTGAGTGACACACCTGTGGGACACACCTGGACACGTGGGACACACCTGGGCACACCTGTGTGAGTGACACACCTGTGGGACACACCTGGGTGAGTGTGGGACACACCTGTGTGAGTGAGTGACACACCTGTGGGACACACCTGGACAGGTGGGACACACCTGGGTGAGTGTGGGACACACCTGGACATGTGGGACACACCTGGGTGAGTGTGGGACACACCTGTGGGACACACCTGGACATGTGGGACACACCTGTGTGAGTGAGTGACACACCTGTGGGACACACCTGGACACGTGGGACACACCTGGGTGAGTGTGGGACACACCTGGGCAGGTGAGTTACCTGCACAGCAGGTACAAGGTGAGTGTGGTACACACCTGGACACGTGTGACACACCTGGGTGAGAGTGGGACACACCTGGACAGGTGAGTTACCTGCACAGCAGGTACAAGGTGAGTGTGGTACACACCTGGGCCCAGGTGTCGTGTCTCAGGTGTATCTCAGGTGTGATTTACCTGTCTCAGGTGTATCCCAGGTGTGCCTCAGGTGTATCTCAGGTGTATCCCAGGTAACTCAGGTGTATCTCAGGTGTATCTCAGGTGTGTTTTACCTGTCCCAGGTGTATCTCAGGTATCTCAGGAGTATCTCAGGTGTATCTCAGGTGTGTTTTACCTGTCTCAGGTATCTCAGGTGTATCCCAGGAGTATCCCAGGAGTGTCTCACCTGTCTCAGGTGTATCCCAGGTAACTCAGGTGTATCTCAGGTGTATCTCAGGTGTGTTTTACTTGTCTCAGATGTATCTCAGGTACCTCAGGTGTGTCTCAGGTAACTCAGGTGTATCCCACGAGTATCTCAGGAGTGTCTCACCTGTCTCAGGTGTAACTCAGGAGTGTCTCACCTGTCTCAGGTGTATCCCAGGAGTGTCTCACCTGTCTCAGGTGTAACTCAGGAGTGTCTCACCTGTCTCAGGTGTATCCCAGGAGTGTCTCACCTGTCTCAGGTGTGTCTCAGGTGTAACTCAGGTGTGTCTCACCTGCAGAAGCTGCAGCAGGAGCTGGAGTTCCTGGAGGTGCAGGAGGAGCTCAGCTCCTGCCCTGAGCCCCACGGCCCAGGTGTGACCCAGGTGTAACTCAGGTGTATCCCAGGAGTGTCTCACCTGTCTCAGGTGTATCCCAGGAGTGTCTCACCTGTCTCAGGTGTAACTCAGGTGTGTCTCACCTGCAGAAGCTGCAGCAGGAGCTGGAGTTCCTGGAGGTGCAGGAGGAGTACATCAAGGACGAGCAGAGGAACCTCAAGAAGGAGTTCCTGCACGCCCAGGAGGAGGTCAAGCGCATCCAGAGCATCCCGCTGGTCATCGGCCAGTTCCTGGAGGCCGTCGACCAGAACACGGCCATCGTGGGCTCCACCACAGGTGGGCACACCTGGGCACACCTGGGGGCGGGAAAACGGGGGAAATTTGGGGGAAATCGGTGGAAATTTGGGGGAAATCGGTGGAAATTTGGGGAAAATTGGTGGAAATTTGGAGGAAATCGGTGGAAATTTGGTGAAAATCGGTGGAAATTTGGTGAAAATCGGTGGAAATTTGGAGGAAATCGGTGGAAATTTGGTGGAATTTTTGGGATTTTGGGGTCTGGGCACACCTGGGAATGGTTCCACACACTTGGGCACACCTGGGCAGGAAAATGGGGGAAATTTGGGGGAAATCGGTGGAAATTTGGTGAAAATTGGTGGAAATTTGGGGAAAATCGGTGAAAATTTGGTGAAAATCGGTGGAAATTTGGAGGAAATCGGTGGAAATTTGGAGGAAATTTGGGGATTTTGGGGTCTGGGCACACCTGGGAATGGTTCCACACACCTGGGCACACCTGGAGGCAGGAAAATGGGGGAAATTTGGGGAAAATCGGTGAAAATTTGGTGAAAATTGGTGGAAATTTGGGGAAAATCGGTGGAAATCTGGTGAAAATCGGTGGAAATTTGGAGAAAATCGGTGGAAATTTGGAGAAAATCGGTGGAAATTTGGGGATTTTGGGGTCTGGGCACACCTGGGAATGGTTCCACACACCTGGGCACACCTGGGAATGGTTCCACACACCTGGG